TATATACACCAATTTTTGAGCATTTCAAAGAATAAAGCATTAAAATAAATTGACAATAGACCAACGGCTAAAGCTATTTGGTTTTATAGAATGCAAAAGGATATGAAAAGTTTTTTAACATATGGAAACTAAAAAGAAGTAAAAAACAAAAGAAATTTGTAATGTTATAACTAAAGAATTAAAGTACAACTCTTGGAATTCAAATTATGTTATTATGTAATTAAAATATTATTATTTAATTGGACATTTAATCATTTTAATTAAGTGGAAGGGCAAAACAGTAATTCAACTTTGAGGTTAGGATAAGTGGAAAGGCAAAATGGTAATCCAACTTTGAGGTTAGGAGGTTCCCAGTGTTAGTAATATATGATATTTTGTATCTTTCTTATTTTCGTTTTTGTATTTTTCTTGCAATTCTGCATCGAAAACTTTTTTTTTCTCGTGAGCTACGAGAAAGGTATGTATACACTTTATCTTCTCACGTTTCATTCGTGAGATTATTTTATTCTTCAATTTTAATATTACTATTGTTTTCTTCACTTCAATAATTGTATTATTTATTGTTGTTATTTAAGTCGTTGATTATCATAAACAACATCTCTACCTTCACTAAATAGGAGCTACGACTGCACGCATCGACAATACATTTTTAAACATCACTTCTGAAATTACATTGAGTATGTTAATTGTTGTTAGTAATTATCTCTCTGTTTTTGTCATTTTTTTCCTTATAATATAAGCATTTGAATTTTATTTTTCTTGGAATTTTATTAAACCCACAATAAAATAATTTTTGTGATTTTAGTGGAATATGCTATTCAATTCAGTGTACCATTTTTTAGAAAAAAGGATAAAAAAGTTTCCCTTTTTTTAAGAGCTATTTGTCCAAAAGTGAAGAAAGGTTCTTGTGTTTGATGATTTTCAAGAAAACCCAATTAGACCTATAAATATGTGGGAGAATTTGCTAGTTGGTTCTTAGTACTCAAAGAGTAATAGTTATATATATCGTCAATGAGAATATTTTTTATACTATCAGGTTAGTAGTAACATTTTTTGTAAGGTTAGTTTTCAATTCATGTATGTTATAGTAATTTATATGTTATTATTTTATTAATGACTTGATTGTTATGTTGTTGCTACATTCGTGTTGGATCCTCAAAAAATTAAATATTTTTTGGAGGATTCGACACACAACCGTGACATTGTATGAAAAATGTTGATTTCTTGAATGATTCTTGAGTGCTATGTGAAAAATGTTGATTTCTTGAATGATTCTTAAGCGCTAGCTATTGTCGATGTAAAAAATATACACACAAGCAAGTTGTGTTGCTTGAACTCTTCAAAATTATTGCCACAATCGTGTTGGATTCTCCAAAAAAGGATTATTTTTGAAGAATTCGAGCAACATAGCCTGATTGTATAAATATATTTACACCAACAATACATAGAACTTAAAGACTCATTCTCGAACACGTGTGTTGCACGTGTATTCTATGTTAATTAGTATAAATTTCTTAAAATAAAAAAATAAAAAAGGACAAAATTGAGAAGATGCAAGAATTTCAAAAGAAGACCTAGCAAAATAAGTCATGTAATTAATATAAAACAAAATTTGAAGATTGAAGATGCAAGCAATGAACAACAAAGAGCAAAAGAGAACAAAAATTATTAAAAGCAAAACAGAGGTCTACGCAACTTAAAGGAAAGTTAATTGAAGAAACTAATATTAAAAAGAATATACCTTTATCCAGAGAGTGTTGTGCATATATACACCAAATTTTGAGCATTTTAAAGAATAAAGCATTAAAATAAATTGACAATAGACCAAAGGCTAAAGCTATTGGTTTTATAGAATGTAAAAGGATATGAAAAACTTTTTTACATATGGAAGCTAAAAAGAAGTAGAAAACGAAAGAAATTTGTAATGTTATAACTAAAGAATTAAAGTACAACTCTTGGAATTCAAATTATGTTATTATGTAATTAAAATATTATTATTTAATTGGACATTTAATCATTTTAATTTAGTGAAAGTGAAAAATGGTAATTCAACTTTGAGGTTAGGATAAGTGGAAGGGCAAAATGGTAATCTAACTTTGAGGTTAGGATAAGTGGAAGGGCAAAATGGTAATCTAACTTTGAGGTTAGGAGCTTCCCACTTTTAGTAATATATGATATTTTGTATCTTTTTTATTTTCGCTTTTGTATTTTCTTGCAATTTTGCTTCAAAAACTTTTTTTTTCTCGTGAGCTACCCCACAAGCTACGAAAAAGGTATGTATACACTTTATCTTCCCACGTTTCATTCGTGAGATTATTTTATTCTTCAATTTAAATATTACTATTGTTTTCTTCACTTCAATAATTGTATTATTTATTGTTATTATTTAAGTCGTTGGCTGCGGTGGATGCACCTATACATTGCCCTCCTTAATTATTATTAATATATTAACTCCTTTCTGACCAAAAAAAAAAAGTCATTGATTATCATAAACAACATCTCTACCTTCACTAAATAGGAGCTACGACTGCATGCATATACACTACATTTTCAGATCTCACTTCTGAAATTACATTGAGTATGTTTATTGTTGTTATTAATTATATCTCTATTTTTGCCCTTTTTTTCTTTATAATATAAGCATTTGAACTTATTTTTTTTGAAATTTTGTAAAACCCACAGTAAAATATTTTTTGGGATTTTAGTGGAATATGCTATTCAATTCAGTGTACCATTTTTTAGAAAAAATGATAAAAAAGTTTCCCTTTTTTAAGAGTTATTTGTCCAAAAGTGAAGGAAGGTTTATATGTTTGATGATTACCAAGAAAATCCAACTAGATCAATAAATATTTGAGAGAATTTGCTAGTTGGTTCTTAGTACTCAAAGAGTAATAGTTATATATATCGTCAGTGAAAATAATTTTTATACTATCAGGTTAGTAGTAACATTTTTTGTAAGGTTTTCAATTCATGTATGTTATTGTAATTTATATGTTATTATCTTTTCTTTTCTTTTTGGTTTTCCACCCGGTGTTCGAAGCCCACATTGGAGCTCCGACTAAATCCGGATCGTGCACTGCAGGGCCCATTCGGGGGTGGCGCTCCCAATAGAATTTTCTCCATACCCAGGGCTCGAATGCTATTATCTTATTAATGACTTGATTGTTATGTTGTTGCTATATTCGTGTTGGATCCTCAAAAAATTAAATATTTTTTGGAGGATTTGACACATAACCATGACATTGTATGAAAAATGTTGATTTCTTGAATGATTCTTGAGTTCTATGTGAAAAATGTTGATTTCTTGAATGATTCTTAAGCTCTAACTATCGTCGATGTAAAAAATATACACACAAGCAAGTTATGTTGCTTGAACTCTTCAAAATTGTTGCCACAATCGTGCTGAATTCTCCAAAAAAGTATTATTTTTGAAGGATTCGAGCAACATAGCCTGATTGTATAAATATTTTTACACCAACAATACATAGAACTTAAAGACTCATTCTCGAACACGTGTATTGCGCGTGTATTCTATATTAATTAGTATAAATTTCTTAAAAAAGAAAAAAAAAAGGAAAATTGGAAAAATCGAGCAGATGCAAGAATTTCATATGAAGACCTAGCAAAATAAGTCACGTAATTAATATAAAACAAAATTTGAAGATTGAAGATGCAAGCAATGAACAACAAAGAGCAGAAGAGACAAAAATTATTATAAGCAAAACTGAGGTCTACACAACTTAAAGGAAAGTTAATTGAAGAAACTAATATAAAAAAGAATATACCTTCATCCAGAGAGTGTTGTGCATACACCAAATTTTGAACATTTTAAAGAACAAAGCATTAAAATAAATTGACAATAGACCAAAGGCTAAAGCTATTGGTTTCATAGAATGTAAAAGGATATGAAAAGTTTTTTAACATATGGAAGCTAAAAAGAAGTAGAAAACAAAAGAAATTTGTAATGTCATAACTAAAGAATTAAAGTACAACTCTTGGAATTCAAATTATGTTATTATGTAATTAAAATATTATTATTTAATTGGACATTTAATCATTTTAATTAAGTAGAAGGGTAAAACGGTAATCCAACTTTGAGATTAGGATAAGTAGAAGGGCAAAACGGTAATCCAACTTTGAGGTTAGGATAAGTAGAAGAGCTAAATGGTAATCCAACTTTGAGGTTAAGAGCTTTCCACTTTTAGTAATATATGATTTTAGTAGCATCCAACCAACAACAACATAAGACAATCCATCTTCATCATGTGTCAATGCCATTTTTCAGTTGCAATATGATCTTCCTTATAATTAGCTTAAAGAAGTTTTCGAGTAATGGTAAAATTATAAAATTATCTTTGTGTGATAACATAGATATTATAGGTTTGAATCGTGGAATCAATAACTTGTACTTGCATCAAGATGTATAGATGACCTATATCACTTTTATTGGAGGTATAGTTCTTTCTTAGACCCTACGTGAATGCAGAATACTTTGTGCATTAAACTAATCTTTTTATGATTTTTCTTATTAGCAAGGCAAGAGGTCAGTCACACTTGTGTGAGCTCATATCAAAGTTGGCTGCCTACATCACATTTAGTTGGGTACAAATTTTTATTAATTTGCATAAACATATAATACTTTGTGCATCAAATTTTCTTAATAGCAAGGCAAGATATCACCTTCTATTATTATTAGTGAGTTTCGAATACTGAATAGTTAAATTTCTGGCATATTGATTTATTTTTAAAAAAAAGGCAAATACTTTTAAAATTTTGTAATTTAATTGACTAAAGAATTCATTAAAATAGATTAAAATTGATTCTTTCCTTAAATATTTTGTGAAGAAATTCTAAATCAAATATGGCAAGTCCCATTATATACGCAAACCGCCACAACCACGCAAAGAAAAACGCAGTCGGTTTCACCTTTTAAGTCATTCCACGACGTCGTTTATTACCCAATCCAAACATATAAATATAAATAATTACATAAATAATTCGCAATAATTCATAGAGTTTTCTTGTGAATTTAAACATAAATCATTAAGTTTCGTGTACGATTCAGAAATCAGAAAAAAAAACCCAATTTGTTCTCTGTTGAATTCTGGTAAAATTTTTGTTAATTATTATGATTCTTGATTTTTATGTGTAGAAAAGTTCATATATTAAAGTTCACATTTTTTTTTTGTTTTCTTGCATTTTTGAGTAAATTTAGAGATACCCTTTTGCTTGAATTGCGTTTATAAGTATATATTTATGTGATTCTGATGTTCTTTAGATGTTTGAAATTTGCAGCAAGAGATAAAAGTTTGAGTCTTGCAATGGCTAAGAGTTCTTTCAAGGTTGAACATCCTTTGGGTATGTTCTTTTTTAACTTTTCTTTGTTGAACATGATTTGATTATGCTTAAATTGAATTATTGGTAGACAGAGATGATAAAGTAGAGGGTCTTTTGGAAATCGCCTCTCTACCTTCACGAGGTAGTGGTAAGGTCTGCCCGCTGACCCATTAGTGGGATTTCACCGGGTATGTTGTTGTTGTTGTAGAGTAGATGTGTACAGACTTAGTGTGTGTGGATTATATGTGTATACATATATTGAGGATAATTATTGAGTGCTGATCAATCAATTTATTTGTATGATAATACTAGTTTCCTATATAAAATTGTAGTGCTTGGTTGAAGAATAGTTGTGCTATAGCATCCAATAGTGTCTATGTAGGTCTGCCATTTGTAGACATACATGTGTGTGTTATTGTCACGACCTAAGTACAAGGAATGTATTGTCCGCTTTGGGCCTAGACTGACAAGGATTTGTCTTTCAAGAAGGGCCATATCGAGCCATAAAAGCACTTACCGTGTGAACTTGAGCTATGTCGTATAAATCTCTTCACTTTCCTCTTACATTTTGATGTGGGATTCGTCTAAGATGTCATATGCACCTCATCTTTAGAGTTATCATTAGCTTGCCTTCTGTCAAGGGCATCAAAAACGCCCTAAGCAGTCCTAGCTGAGGTTTTCCCCTCTCATACCATATTTTTCACGATTCAAATCCATGGCACATATTGTCCCCTTTGGACCTAGTCCCAAACGGATTTGTCTTTTGGGCTATGCACATCGGGCCCTAATTATGCATGTACTATGTGAACTTGAGCTATGCTTTATAAAGCTCTTCACTTTCCTCTCCCATTCTGAATTGGGATTTGCCTAAGGTGTCATTTGCATCTCATCTTCAGCCAGTCCTGCTTGACCCATCCTCCGTAGGTGGCGTCACAGTTAGTTTGCGTGCACACGCTGTTGGTGCAGCTATACCCACCATCCAAATGCTACATCAGCTTATGTTGGCAGGTGCCAGGATGTGGGTAGTTTAGTGATGTTTATGCTTTGTAGCCTCCGTGTTACATTGTATATATTTGAATATTTCTAGATGCCTTTTGAGGGTAATTTAATTGACTAAAGCTAAATATTTGGTAAAGCAACAACCAGATATGTTCTGTTCTTAGTCTTCCTGAATCTAGGAATATACCTGGTGCATGAATTCATTACTAAAGTATCAGGGCATAATTGCAGATTTTAGCTAAAACGGAGCTTATTCATATAGACAACACCAACTAGTTGAGATAAGTGTGCCATTTAGAAAATTTCTAATTTGCCTTAGAGGGAAATATTTAGTATGGGAATGAATTGAGTGGAATAGCTGACCCCAACTGATTTTGCAGTTGATTGTTTGATATTCTGATTTGGGATTGCCGACTAGTATAGGAAGTGATAGTTTTTGATGCTTTTCTTTCCATATAGCTTCTAGATATCAGATGTGGTACCTGTTCTTATGATGTTCTTTTCTTTTTCTTTCGAGCATATCCTTATTTACTTGAGCTGATAACTTCCTGGTGTCTCCCTTCCTAAGAAAAGCCGGGGAATGAGACAAAAAGGATGTATGCAATTTTGCTGATGTTTTCAATGTTTGTCCTTTTTAAATAGAGAGGAGACAGGCAGAATCTTCTCGCATCAGGGAGAAGTATCCTGACAGAATTCCGGTATGATATCTGTTGTTAAAAAGGTCTTACTCTTCATTGATACTTCAGTACCCTTATTTCTCATGGCTATGTTTCCCATTCAGGTGATTGTTGAGAGAGCAGAAAAGAGTGATATCTCCGACATTGATAAGAAGAAGTAAGTTGCTTCTTTGCTTCTATGCCTTTCCATGATGATGGTTGTTAAGAATCAAGTGCTCAGTTTTGATACATTAATAACACCAATTTTGTGTTCACGTCCAACTGTAAATTGGTTTTGGCATGCAATTTGCTTGTTTAGTTTGTGTTTTCTTTCATGGTAATATTTGACTTTTGGGCACATGCGTATAGCTATTTGTGTATCATTCTTTCATAATGTAGGTTTATTTTTCTTAACAATAATTACTAAATTCTGGCTCATCATGTTTGTCATAGTTCATTCAAGATTAGGAGAGTTTCTTTCGTATCCCCTCCCCGTGCAGACTGATGAGTTTTGTTGTTTGCCGTGGATGTGGATATTAACACGGTTAGTTGGGAATTGATAGATCTTGTGAATGCTGGTTGTAGTAACAAAAGTTTGGCAGAATTTGTCTCCAGAAGTGATTATAAAATCGGAGTATTTAATAATGTAATGATATTTTAATGTGGTTTGTCATGGTCGCCTCTACAAGGTAAGGGTGAGATCGGGCGTTGGTGCTAAAATAACTAATAAGTAGCTCTAGGTACGTCAGGTGTTTCTTCCTTCCGCAGTTAAACACAGGCTGATGCTCGAGTGTCATGCCTACTTGTTACGCAATAAACTTCAATATGTTAACAGAATTAATCTCATATTACTTGATTGTTGTCGATTGTTTATTCCTATGTATAAGTAGATCCGATAGGACCATTATTTATTTGTCTTACGTTGTGACATAGGTACCTCGTCCCCGCTGACTTGACTGTTGGCCAATTTGTTTACGTGGTCCGAAAGAGGATCAATCTCAGTGCTGAAAAGGCCATATTTGTCTTTGTCAAAAACATTCTGCCTCCAACTGGTAAGTGAAGTAGATTATAACATAAGGTCTCCATACTTTTCCAAGACATTTGTCTTTGACATATCTTCCTTCCTTCCTGTTGCAGCTGCTCTGATGTCTGCAATTTACGAGGAAAACAAGGATGAAGACGGATTCCTTTATATGACATATAGTGGTGAAAATACATTTGGTTTCCTTGATCTTGGGAATTAATAATTCAAGTTAACAATCTGTATTGTAAATAAATATGCTACCACTTTGATTTGTTCATGGATGGTTTAACTGTGAGATGACTCTTGTTTTTTGTTAAAGAAATGCTCATAAAATGTACAGATGACAAGTCTTTGCACACTTATCCCAATATCTCTTTTATCTCATGAAATTATAATCCTTCTGTCCATTTATTAGCTCAATTTATTTCAATCCAATGACTCACATTTTATTTATTAATAATAAGCTTCCCTAACAAGGAATGTCAACAAAGCGTTTGTAGTCCAACGGTTTGGATAATTGCCTTCCAAGCAATAGACCCGGGTTCGACTCCCGGCAGACGCAGTTTCTTACTTTTGATTTTTTTTTTATCTTTTTCATGGTGTATTTGGATCGGATAATGTTTTCCGATCTTCCATTGGTAGGAAACACAAAATATAAATATGAAATTCACTTATTTTTTTAAAATGATATTTTTTAGGAAAAATATTTCTTCCTACCAAACACACCATTAAGCTTTGAACTGAACTAATTTTAAACGAGGAAAGATTATAGAGAATCGTTATAACTAGAATAATTCAAACACAAGGAGCAAAGTACACTGACACTCGGTTTTGATGGAGTCGTTTAGTTTGGGTCCATTATGTAAAAAAAAAATCATACGTTATATGTATCTATTTCATGATAACTTTAGATATACGATGTCGTCAGTGGGACTGAAGTTAACATTACGATAGCCAAAGTGCGGCAAAAATAACTTTAGTCCAATTATTTTTAGCTGAGTTCAGGAAAAATAGGACTAAAAATAAAATGGTGTTACCAAAACAAACTCCCTGATCAAATTTCTTATTTTGAGACTTCTATAGAAATATACGAAATAAAATCTATATTTATAAATTATAATAATTCATAATACATCAAATTTATTTCAAAACGTTACAACTCAAAATTTTAATAATATTTCATAAACCATGCATAGAAAATTGATACATTAAAATATAAGATATTTAACCATTACTATTAAATAGAGTAATATTTTAATTCCCTATCAACAGCTTTCTTCAAGAAACTATTTTCTTCAAGTACCATTTGAATTGGCAAGAACCCTAAACCATTAGCCATAGCCACCATCATCTCCTTCATCTCTTGTTTAAATTCTTCCAAATCCACCGTCCCATTCGAGTCGCGATCGAATTGAACGAAGATTGAACTATAAACTCGAGAAACCTCGTTTGGATCGGTTTTCACATCGATACCAAAATGTGTATCGAAGACCCTCAACCCCTGCAATCAGTAGCGAAATCAAAAATTTTGTTAAGAATACTGCTCAAAATTTAGTTAGACATTATGAATATAAAAAATTTGATGATATTGTAATTTGACATGTGGGGTCTTAAGAAGATGATGTGTACCCTGACCTTATTCCTACCTACCTTTGTGAGGTGAGGTCGTTTATAATACAAAATGTTTTAAAGGGTAATAGAAAATAATCTTAGAAAAAATTAAAAATATACTTTATAGAAAATAATCTTTTTGAAAAATAAAATATTCTAGCTGACTACCCTTTAATCTATATGGCTCCGATCTGCCCTTACCTGCAACTCTTTCAACATTTCTGAATAAGAAAGTATGCCATCATGATCTTTATCGAGATTGTTGAAGCGCTCAACGATGAATTCGCTGAACGCTTCTTCGTCTTCCACGAAGCTAAGGATTGTGGCACCATCAAGAACCTCTACACTCATTTTGTGGTGTTAATTTGTAGCTATTGAAACACAATAGTCAATTAATGAATATGAATAATTTGTAGCTTGATATTCTATTTATACTATATGCTTTTATTGGAAGACTACCAATTTTGAGTTGGTAGTTTTGTCTAGTAGTACTTGTTATTGTAGGAGTCAACAAGACTAATAAAAGTGTGTATTTTGAATTTTTGCACACAGATTAATGACATAGTCGGTTGGTTGGTCGTACGGGTGTATATAGATCGAGTTGGTTTGAATTTTTTAATTATTGAATTAAATTATTTATATTGGATTTTAAAATCTATAAATTAAACCAAAAATATTATAGTCGGGATTTTCAACTTCAAGTTTTTCAATTTTCTCGGATTTTTCGGAGGGTTTATCAATAAAGAGCCAATTTTGTTGAAAACGTGAGATCTCAAAAAAATAATTTTTTTTAAATAGAACAAGCTAGTGAATTTCAAATATTGAATGGTCAAAACGAAACAAATAAAAAATGTCATTTTGGGACTAAGAAAACTCAAAAGCACTATATGTTGTTTTAGACACTAGTATTGCAAAGCCACCAGATTATTAGTAAGCATGTAGACCGGTGGACTATTTAATATTTGAAATTCACTTGTTTATTTTATTTAATATTTTTTATTTTTGTAAATTTTAATTCGAGATCTCACGTTTTAAAATTTTTTTCCAAGTTGTATAAGTAGATACAAGATAAATATATGTAGTATTGCTAATCAAGTTTCAAATCACAATTAAATTGTCTTAATCTAACTGTTCAATATTTTTAATAATTAATAATATTAATTATGTAAAGAGTTTTCGTGTTGGCTTGTTGATTTCACTACAATTTTGATTATGTATGATATCTTTTATTATTAATTTATTGGTCCTGATACAAATTTGGTATCTGAAAGAGAACTTCTTTTGGGATTACGATTTAGGACTTAGAATTGTTAATTACTTATTTCATAAATATAATTTTATGTTAATTTTTAAAACTTTTGTCTTTAGACTTTGCAATGTTATTATATGAGATTACGCAGATTTGAAAATTTATTCGTATTAAATATAACTATAATGAAGTGATAAAACAAAGCCTATGTAAAATTTCTTAAGTTTTATGAATTTAATTTGTGCTATGTTTATGTTTTAGATAATTGTTATTGAGGTGAATTCGAGGTGTGTGGGATCCACACAAGAATGTAGAGATGTTTAGAATCAGAGTTGTCCATCGGACATATCAGACAAATAATTACACTTAATCATTCAACTTATTGGATATCGATTGATTTGATATCAAATTAGCAATTATCGAACGGTTATCGAGTGATGTATCGACTAAATTATAGAACCAACTTACATCTATTCTTTTTCTTTAATTAAAATCACAACAAGAAAATACATATCATTGCTTTAATTAACTTATGTCTCTTTTTTCATTAAATATAGGAAAAACTACATAAATGGGCCACAAAACTCAAAATAATTTGAGGAACTTTCGCATATAGCCACTCAAAAATAGCCTAATTATACTTCATAGCTATAGTTTGCTAATTACGATTTGTAGCTACATGTTATAGGGAGGAGAGAGGCGAGTGAGAGAGGGCAGAGAGTGGGAGAGAGGTGAATTGTATATGCATATCGGTTAGATAATTGTATATTATACATATGTATTTGTATATTCTGGCGATAGAGATTGGGAGAGGGAATAGAGAGGCGAGCGAAACTGGGAGAGGGACGAGAGAGGCAAGCCAGAGAGGACAATAATTTGCATCTTGTTTGTATAATTTACGTGTTTTTGTATAATTGAGTAATATAAAGTCTCGAATTGTACAAATATAATAAAACTAGAAATAACGAATTAATACAAACATAAACATATGAACTTTAAACAATTATACAAAATATATTATACAAATTACATTATATAAATTATATTATACAAAATTCAAAAACTACACGTTTATACAAATTTTAAAAAGTTATACACAAAAAGATTGAATGTATATGATGACAAAACTAAAAAATCAAAGAAAATCATCGTCATCTACAAATACAAACCATCGTATACAAATACAAATCAAACAAAGAATTGTTAGTTGCGAATTATACAAATGTGGCAAATTATACATATACAAACGTGACTAATTATACAAACTCGAAGTCAGCCCACGTAATTAATGGTTAATGTTAGTCGCGAGTGGTAATTATAACAAACTATAGCTATGATGAGTAATTAAATAGTATAAGTTTGCTTAACCGCGTAATTTTCCCAAATAATTATATGTTCATACCTCAATCCAAAGTAATTCAAGAAATACTCATTCTCTCAATAAAAAATACAACCCATACCTCCCATTTATTAAGGTTGATAATTTTCGATTAACTGATACTAAATCAGTATCATATACTGAATTGATATTATTAAGACTGATAATTTTCCTTAATTGATACTATACACACACACACACACACACACACACACACACATATATATATATATAAGTAAAATTGGTAATTTAAGTAAAATCGAGTTATTTTTGTTGATTTTAGATTTTCCATCCAATTGAGGGGTATAGGTGACAAGTTTATAAACGGCTAAAATAAAACAATTTTATTTTAACAGTAAAGGTAAAATCAACTAATAAATGAAAACTAAATAGGTATTTTTGACTATTTTCCCTAATTTAAACACAAACACAAAAATAGGGGCAAAATTGTAAATGACCCCTATTATTACGCAAACAACCTCTTTGTCTTCTTGTTCCCTTCAGTTTCGCTAACAAAGAACCGTCCAATAAAATTACGCCACGTCAGACACCCATCAAATTCCAAAAACACGTCCACGTTCAATGAACCTGTATTGTCGTCTTCTTCAGGTGACATTTTTCTCTCCTATAAATCAAAGAAAAAAAAAAGCAAAATTTTACAAATTCAACAAAAACCCAGAAAGCGAATCCTTTGTTTTTGTTTGAAAAAAGTATTTGCAATTGAAGATTTGTTGTTTGAGATTTGAGATTTGAGAAAATGGCTTTGGCTTTCAGTTCTTCAAGTGTAATTCATGGTTCTCTTTCTTCTTCATCTTCATATGAACAACAACCACCTAAAGGTTACCCATTGCTCTTTTTCTCTCCATTCTTCAGTTTTTGCATTTAATTCTGTAAATGTGGTAGGGAATTTTCTCATCTGGTTTTTTTTTTGCTTTGGTTCTCAAACTTTCAATTTTCGCACTTAAATTGTAAATGCAATAAAGATCAGAGAAGTTTAACATCTGGG